AACTTGCTGATGCAAGATGCTGCGGTTCCCAAGCCACCTGCTCCAGGTTCCTGTGAGAGTGCAGGAGGAGCAGCAGATGGAGCCATTTCCTTTAAGATGGCTCTGTCTGTAGTGATGTCCAAAAGGAAGATGGAAGGTGAGCTGCAAGTGCTGTGTTGCATATTTAATTGCTTTGCGGTGTCCTGCTGCCTGCTCTTACTGACACATCAGGTTTGTTTTGCTTCTGTTTTTTCCTGCAGTGCTATCATTGAGCACACCAACAGAGTAATTTTCTTAGAAGATGATGACATTGCAGCAGTAACTGATGGGAAGCTTTCAATTCACCGTCTCGAGCGTTCAGCTAGTGATGATCCCTCCCGAGCCATCCAAACCTTGCAGATGGAATTGCAGCAAATCATGAAGGGTGGGTTGAAACATCTGTTAGCAAATATCATCAGAGATGAATATTGACTGTTTACATAGTAGGTAAGGCAGAAAACTGCTAATTTGATTTGCAAATGACCTGATGTGTAGGCTCTTTGTACTGGGAGCTGACAATCCCAAGCTTTAGACCAAGGGAAGATGGGTGGTGTGGGACACTACCCATTTTTAGCCTTGGAAAAGTCCTATATACTTCTATTCATCTCAATATTTAGTAAAAATGTAACTACTGTTAAAATGTTATAGTTACTTTCACTGTAAACAGAGAACTGAAGTGTAATACAGAAGTTTCCTTAAAAAGGAATGCAGTTCCTTGTCAGAGTTAGGAAATGAAACCAACCAAATAGAGGAACTACCAATCCCTCCTTTCTTCTCGCCTGTTCCTAAGCTAACGCATTCAACTTAAATCACTTGCTACTACAGGTCATCTTAAAAGTTGTCTCTTTTTAACTGTAATAGACTTCAAATAACAAATGTAAGTTTAACCATGTACTGTTTTTCTAAACAGGGAACTTCAGTGCATTCATGCAGAAGGAAATTTTTGAACAACCAGAATCAGTTGTGAACACGATGAGAGGCAGGGTGAATTTCGAGAGCAGCACAGGTAACTCAGAACAGCCCGTCAGGCTGCACTAAGCCTGCAGTTCTGAACATGTTAGCTAGAACATAAAATACACCATTGATATGTGCTTGCTTGTTTGTTTACAGTTCTGCTGGGGGGGCTGAAGGATCATCTCAAAGAAATCAGAAGATGCCGAAGACTGATCATTATTGGCTGTGGGACCAGTTACCATGCTGCAGTTGCTGTACGTTCAGCTTTAGCTAAATGCACATATTAACTCCTGGTTGCTGGATTTTTAGACAATAGCTCTTCATCTGCTTTTTCTTCTGTATCTCAAACTTTGCCTTTAATTGAGGGATCTCACAACTTCTAGATTTCCTTTACACCACAGTATTTATTAATGCTGTGATGCCGTTATCTCCCGTGCTAGAAATTCTCTTTTTCACCTTGTCTTTTAAATCTCTGGTGAGCTGTAGTTACCAGTTTTTGTAGTAAGAATCCATTTAGATTGTCTCTGACTCTTAAGACACCAAGGTTTTTATGGGTGGCAATATTAACAAATATTGTGTGCTGCTTGAATACAGACTCGACAAGTACTGGAAGAATTAACTGAGTTACCAGTGATGGTGGAACTTGCTAGTGACTTCCTCGATAGAAACACACCTGTATTCAGAGATGATGTGTGCTTTTTTATAAGTCAGTCAGGTAAGCTGTGATTACTGGTTGTCTTCAATAGAGTGCAAACTGTAGAAGTATTTTTAAAAGCCACTGATTTATTACTTCCTGCATGTTGCAAAGGAAGGTGATGGCTAATGGGACAGATTTGTCTTGAATTCAAGTTTCTTCCAGGCTTGATTCAAATACATAAACAATGAGTGAGTGCTGAAGGATTGTTTTCAGTTGCTTTTGCATTGTGGATTCAGTTACTTAGAACTCACTGTGTAGAATGTTAATGCTTTTCAGGAATCATTACTATCCTCTGTCAACCTGAAGTCAAGATGTAAATGTTTTTCAGGTGAAACTGCAGACACACTTATGGCCTTGAGGTACTGTAAGGAACGTCGTGCTCTAACAGTTGGCATCACAAACACAGTTGGAAGCTCAATATCCAGAGAGACTGACTGTGGTGTTCATATCAATGCAGGACCTGAGATAGGTGTGGCAAGCACAAAGGTAATTGCTGTTCAGGGTTTGACTTTCATACTTCAGCCTTGTGGAATCCAGTTAAAGTTTTAATTGTAGCACTTCAAACTGAGCTCATACTAACTCTCTGCAGACTTAGCTGCTTAATGTTTTGTTTTGTCTGCAGGCTTATACCAGCCAGTTCGTGTCTCTTGTAATGTTTGGCCTAATGATGTCTGAAGACAGAATTTCCTTGCAGAAAAGGCGACAGGAAATCATTAGTGGACTAAAATCATTGCCAGGTATATTGATATTTTGGGGTTTAGGAGGGATAGGGGATGTTGTTTAATGGGCAACATAAAATACTACTGGGGATGTTTCTTTCTCGTTGAAGTTTCACTCTCCTCCCTTCTCCTGAAAAGTAGACAATACAAGAAAAATGGACTGTTAGTTTCTTCACTAATGGCCAATTTTACAAGTGCCCTTTCAAGAAAATTGGCAGGAAGATCAGAATTTTCATGGGTTGGGTTTTCTAATTACAATAAAGTAGTTTTGTATGAGGTACATTACTTGATCTCCTGATGATTTGAAATTTTTAAAGCCTTTCACTTTATATCAGGATAGAGGAAAGGAAACTAATTCAAGGTGACTTTAAAGTGGATGTTCACAACTTCCTTTAGAAATACAAATGGGATGCGTAAGCACTGCTTAAACCAATAGTTGCTTTAAATTTGTTACTGTAAGTAAGGCTGGAGAAAATATCCTTAAAATATCTTTATCCAGTTAAAGATGCAAAGTTACTGATTGAATTATATTAAGAGCATTTTATCCTAACAAATTATTAGAACATCCTACTACAAGCAAACTGTCTTTTCCAGTTAAAGTTTTTAATGTGTGCTTTTTATGTGTCCCAATAGAGATGATTAAGGAAGTCTTGTCCTTGGATGAGAAGATACATGATTTAGCTCTTGAACTGTACAAACAAAGGTCCCTGCTGGTTATGGGTCGTGGGTATAATTATGCCACTTGTCTGGAAGGAGCTCTGGTAAGAACCTCTCAATATATTGTTAGATGTTGTTTAAAATGAGCTTTTGTGGTTTTCACAACATAGTTTATTTCTGATATTTCAGCTTAATTGTGCTGCAGTAAAACCTGCTATCTGCAACTAAGAGTATTTAGTCCTGTTGGGTTGAACACATACGTAAGGTGAACCTGGATGCACTAATCAGTTTCTTGTTTCTTTCACATAATAAATAGAGTGTTGGATGAATCTATTAAATATATACAAAATCACAGTGTGCTGATGTTCAGGTGAGACGCTCATAAACATGAATTGTTACGAACATTCTGGTGGAATGGACACATACCCACCTCCCACAGAAGTTTGAAATGTTAATGATAGAGACTGCATTAGCCAAGGTTTTGCTGATTGTTTGTTTCTTAAAGTTCCTGTTAATTACTCTGTTTCTTTATCTGCAAATGTGTGTCAAGGGGCAAGCTCTTGCTTCCTCCAGCTGATCTTTGAAAATACCAACTTAATACCATATGTCTGTATTTAAGAGGCAGATATACAGCCTTCCTGTTTTGCTTTCTTTTATTTCTCATCTGATTTACCGGTAACTTGATGGCATTTGCTTTTTTTTTCTTAATTTTAGAAAATAAAAGAAATCACCTATATGCACTCTGAAGGTATCCTGGCTGGTGAGCTGAAACATGGGCCCTTGGCCCTCATAGATAAACAAATGCCTGTTATCATGGTGATAATGAAGGATCCTTGTTTCACCAAGTGCCAGAATGCTCTGCAACAGGTCACTGCTCGACAGGTAAGCTGTTTAACTAACACAGTGTCACAGAGAAGGAGATTGTGTGTGATGTGTTACTGCTGACTGTGCCACAGAAAAAGGATGTACTGGTGATTTATTAAATTACTGTTATAAATAAAACATTCTATCTGCATTGTAGGTAGTCATTATAGTGACTGACTAGTGACCACTAGTGAAAAGTGATTGCATGTGGGTGGTTTCAGGTTTTTGGTTTGTTTTGAAGCACATGGGGTAATGTTAAAACTCTACAGGGTGAAAATATTCCAGTCTCATAAATCAGTGAATGAGAAACTCCTTAATGCAAGATTGGCATCGTCTTTTAGCTATCTGAGTGCCTTCAAACATACTACAAGCATGCTGTGAACCAATGTTTCAAAGCAGTCCTAAGCCACCTCTTCACTTAACACTGCAAAATTTTATTTTCAGGGTCGTCCAATCATTCTGTGTTCTAAAGAAGATACAGAAAGCTCAAAATTTGCCTACAAAACCATTGAGCTGCCTCATACAGTTGACTGCCTTCAAGGAGTCTTGAGTGTTATTCCTCTCCAGTTGCTTTCATTCCACCTGGCTGTTCTCAGAGGATATGATGTAAGTGCTTTCTATATTTAGCACTCCAGTTAGTGCAGTTTTGAACTTCCTCCTATCAGTGTAAAGTGAGAGACTCAGTTATATGGCATATCTAAGAAGGAACTATGATAATAGTAGAGCTTATAGCAACTGGGGTAGTAGAGGTGGCATTTCAGTGCCAATTCTTCAGCTTTATAGTTTTTCTAATTGGTGTCCTTCTAGTTTGGAGTGCAGATAGGGCTTATTCAGAGAACTAAATCTTAAAATGTGATATTGCACTTTAACATGAAATAGGTCAGTGCTTTGTACAGCTTAGTTTGGCACTGGTTAGGTGTGTCAGTTTGATAACGATGATTGCTCTGGAAAGGTACCCTGTGCAAAAACAAATATGTATTTGTTAAGAGGGCTTTGGAAGCAAGGCTGAATTCAACAGTGAGTCATTATCTGCAGTCTCTCGTGTTTGTTAATGTGTCTAGAACAAAGTAGAACTCATTAGGAAGGCTAAATGAACTGTGAAATGCAAAATGTCAGTATTACTCTGTCAGATTCTGAAAGTCTGTCTCTTCATTCTAGGTGGACTTTCCAAGAAACTTGGCCAAATCTGTTACTGTAGAATAACAGCCATGAACAGCTGATGTTTTTCTCACCAGACCTCTGAGTTACACTTGTAGAAATGTGTTGTTCTGGATTGATAGGTACACGTTTTTCTAAAGACAATGACAGCGCTAACTGGAAAGTGTCACAAGGATTTATCTTGCAGCTTTAAAAGCTTTTGATGTGCCTTGTACTCAAGTGCTTTTGCTATTCCTCTATGTCCTGAAATTGCCAAAGAAGATAAAAATTGTTTACACATGGTATACTGAATGAACTTTTTTACTGTGCAATATATATATACAGCTCTCTTCAGAGTAACTGTGAACATTTTTTTTAGCCTACACTACTTAACTAGTTTTAAAGATATAGTATTTATAACTACAATTGTATAGCTTTTTTTAAGTTATTTTTTTAGTACATTGCTTATCTGTAGCATTGGTAATGCTCAGAATGTAAATACTGAGCATGTTGACACTTGTGTACAGTTGTTAGGGGTTTTTTTTTCTTACTTCAGCCTCAAACTGGAAACTTCTTGTCCTTCTTCCTCCCCAGCTTCCCCTCCCACCTTTGCATCTGTGTTTCATATTCAACCAGTCATTTGCAAAGCAATTCTGTGGCTGTCAATTCCCCACAATGTTTTAAATTTCTGCTTCTTTCAACTAATGATTTGAAAAGCCAGAGCAACATTTTGTTTTGTTTGCTACCCCAGCTCTTATTTGCATAACATGTACAGTACAACAAAATAAGGGAACTGGATGTCTTTCAAGTGATACTTCTGTTTGAAGAGTGTACAATGAGATTACAATGCAATTAAAAGATTACCTAAATTCTTCTTTTTTGTGTTTCTTTTGTTTTGGTTTGGGTTTTTGGTGATCTTCAACTCCTCATCTAGGGTCTGAACATACATACAATACCACAGTACTCTGATACAAGTCAGAGAGACGGTGTTCTTCCCTAGTCTTGCCTAAATCCTGATATCAGAGTTCTTTGTTTCTTGGGTTAGTTCTTTCTGTGTCACGCAGGTCTCCTATGTAGGAAGGTGTGTTGCAAAATAATAGGTCAAATTTGGGTAGCTTGCTCCATATCACCATCTTTCTGAAGCACATGAGTACAGGAGAACTCCATTTGGTGACTGTTCATCAGCGTTTTGCCAGACATGTACTGAAACAATCGTGGAATTTCATATTATAGCTCCTACTGTAGTTGACACCAGCTACTGATTAAACCTTTGTATTTTACCTTCTGCTGAGGTAGATGAATGGGGGAAGAAATTTCCTGCAGGTAAAAATAGAAGCTGTGTCTGTATTATTACATATGCTTTTTATGGTCATAAAGTTGCCTCCTTAGCCAAGAAAAAATTGCCATAAACTTAATATATAGTATCTAAACTACAGACACTGGAATATATATAAGAAAACGCACCACCCTATACCAGCAAATAAGAGAATACTAAATATATATTCAAGCTAGGACTAAAGTCTTGTTTTATTAACATATATATTTGCAAAAGCACACTTTGCTGATTGTGAGCTAACTAGCAGTAGGGAGCATCTATGAACCTTAACGAAATAAGGCAGTTATGCAAAGATCTCTGCTCGTTTGTTATTTCAGAGTTCATAATTTTTGGCATTTTATGAACTAAATCATTGCCTAGTAAAAACTTCCTTTATGATGTTCCTCTGCAGGCTTGCTTCTCACTGGAGATGTTTGAATGCTTATGTAGGTTAATAGCTTGAAAGTGTTATAGTTGTTGTAACAGGAGCGTCTTACTGGAAACTGCTCTAGTACTTTTTATAACCACATGAAAGAACCTAAATCATAACAAAAAGCACAGTGATAATCTGACCTAGATGCCAAGAATATGTAACTGGGTACCCAACATGTTTTGATAAGTGATGCAAAGGCCCCTTTTACTGTCTGTCTAGAATTAGTAACTGATGTTATCTAGTCTATAGGATACGTTAAATCGATTCATTAAAAAAATTACAGGTGTATTTTCCTAAAATCATCTATGAAAACTGAAATCACAGACACTAAAGCTCTTGTTAGTCATGGGAGAGGTGGGAAAACACATGGAGTTTATTTTTAGTCAGCACCTGTTTTAAAAAACAAGGCAGGTGCTGTGATAACTTATAGAAGGCTTCTGATTTTTGAGTGACGCCAAAAATAGCTGGTCTACCCAGGGTGGGGGGGGAACAAATCCCTTCCCTTCTGAACCATCTGCTCGGGAAGACCTATGTGATGGATGCCCTAATGAGCACCGCAGGGCTGACAGGGCTCGCAGCTGCGTCACCCTGTGTTGTGGGGCTGGGCATGTGCTGTCATCCCAGAACACGGGTGCGAGGTGGCCGCGGTGCGTTGGTGACCGCAGTGTGCTGTGACAGGCTGACAACACCCGGCGCCATTGCGCTGTGGTGTTTTGGGGCCCCCTGCACATCACAGAGCTCCTGCCTGCTGGAGCCGGGCGGCTCTGAGCGCCCGGCAGTGACGTTTGGCGCCACAGCAGCTCATGACGAGGCACTACTACGAAGGTGACATCATAGGTACAGTTTGACGTCATGATGACATCACGCGAGGGGACGGGGGCTGCTCCCACATTGGCCCAAAAGTCCCCGTCTCCACTGCAGTCCTTCAGGGCCCTCCCTTATATAGCGGCTATTAGGTCCCACCTCCGGGGCCTGATTGGTTAAATTTCGAGGCAGAGGGCTGCGATTGGTCCGAGGGGGTGTCTGTCAGGGGGCGTAGGCCTGCGCGGCCTGTGTGGAGCACCGGGAGGCCATTGTAGCTGGGGCAGTTT